AGTCGTAGCGGTCGTAGGATCTTAAGTCGTAGAAAATTGACCAATCACAGTTGATTATTCTTCTCATATTCGACTGTGATTAGTCAATTTTCTACGACTTAAGACCCTACGACTGCTACGACTTCTATTGTAGACACCCCGCATAAGAAATACTAAACCAACTGTACAATTTACACAAACAACGGTGCTGCGCATGCGCATTGCGAACATTAGGACCTCTCTACCTTTCTCTCTCGCACAGATGTTGACTTCACCTCGGTATACGAGCCAACATAAATAATTCCTCTTCCAATAGTATATGTTCTAAGCTTTTATAGTAATTTCATATTTCACTTATATGTTTTCAATACGCATATGCTAGAAAAAATCCCGTTCGAACTGCGTTCAGAAACATCACCCGAGTATCATCTTATCCTCATTTAACATTGGGTGAACAACAAGGATAAAATGATCGATACATGGAGGCACTGATGTAATGATGTTTCCGAACGCAGCTCAGACAGAGGTTCCTCTCTGGAACCAGTGTTGCCAACTCAGTAAACTTTCTACCAGATCTAGTAGAATGACATAGGCTGGTATTCATAGTCAATTATTATTTATATTCAAGATCTCCTTAAATTCAGCCTTGAGGTGTCACGAACCAACCAGAAGGTCGTATTAACATCTTAAGACATTACTTAAGATGATCTTGAAATAAGAACGAACTATGAATACCGCCTTAAGACGTCATTGAAGGGCTATGGCAAAGGACGAGACGTAACGAGACGTAGTCGTGACATAGGGTAAGATAGAGAAAAACGTAGAAGTCGCAATCGAAGATCGAAGCACTTTTCCGACCAGTCACGATTGCGACTTCTACGTTTTCCTCTGTTTTAATCTGCAAACACAAGGAATAAAGCCGGAATCAGACTAAGCATTAAAGATTGAGATTGAAGATTGAAAGATTGAAATTTGACCAATCAAAACAATAGGAGCTAAAATTCCTTTGCCCTCATTGATCAAATTTCAATCTTCAATCTTCGATCTCAATATGGGTGATGTTTCTGAACGCAGCCTTAGGCCAGAATCAGACTACGCATTGAAAATTACTCAAGCCTTAAGAAATTGATCAATCACAATCGAATGTAAGAATTTGACCAATCGAAACGAAAGGAGCTAAAATTTCTTTGTCCTTATTGGTCAAATTTTAATCTTCAATCTTCAACCTCAGGCTGGCGTCCTATGAGAGGAAATTTACAGCGGAACGGAACAACAAGACCAATCGCAATCGCAGAAAAGAAAGCAGAGTAATGACTGCAGAGTTGTAATTGGTCACATTGTTCCGTTCCGCTGTAAATTTCCGTTCCATGGGACGCCAGCCTCAGGCCGGAATCAGATTACGCATTGAATAATGGGTGCATTCAGTACTACAACCGCTCACTGAACGCTCAGTGAGCGCTTGCATCCTGTTGGCATATTCCGTTAGAACTAAAAATATAGACCAAACATATTCAAGAGCTCATTGAGCGCTCAATGAGTGGTCGTAGTATTGGGTGCATTTAGTACTACAACCGCTCAAATTGGTCACACTGTTCCGTTCCGCTGTAAATTTCCGTTCCATGGGACGCCAGCCTAAGGCCGGAATCAGATTACGCATTGAATAATGGGTGCATTCAGTACTACAACCGCTCACTGAACGCTCAGTGAGCGCTTGCATCCTGTTGGCATATTCCGTTAGAACTAAAAATATAGACCAAACATATTCAAGAGCTCATTGAGCGCTCAATGAGTGGTCGTAGTATTGGGTGCATTTAGTACTACAACCGCTCTCTGAGCGCTCAGTGAGCTCTTGAATCTGTTTGGTCTATATTTTTAGTTCTAACGGAATATGCCAATCAGATGCAAGAGCCCATTGAGCGCCCTGTGAGCGGTTGTAGTACTGAATGCACCCATTGAGATTGAAGATTAAAAGATTGAAATTTGATCAATCAAAACAATAGGAGCTAAAATTCCTTTGTCCTCACTGGTCAAATTTTAATCTTCAATCTTCGATCTGATCATCTTCAATCTTCAATCTTCAATCAATATGATGCATAGCTATATATTAAAGTATAATAATAAATGCAGATTGTGGGAAAGTGCAAGGATAAAATAGGAAATGAAATAAGACGTTTTGGCATAATATTCAATTGTATATAATTACGAATGAAAATGACGAATTACGCACAACATATAGAATATGTAGAGAACGCAATATTGTAAAATCTAGAACTATATATGATAGTCTCAGATCACACTGTTTCATTACATTAAAAGATATGCTGTCCTCGCGAATTAGATTATATGGTCATATAACATAGTTCGACAAAAATCGATTTTTTTTTCTCCTATGAAAAATTCAAAGAGATTCTGAAAATAGATATAAAAAATATACCCGTGTCATTTATTACCCTCGGCATTTTACTAGATCAAGTCGTTAACGGTTTTTAAGTATCATCGAATGTCTTTTTATAAACTGTACAGCACAGATTTCCTCCCGTGAAAAATTTGAAAAGATTCTGAAAATAGATGTAAAAAAAAGCATACCCGTGTCTCGGCACTGACTTACTTCGACACTGTCGCGATTTAAACAAAGCATACTAATAGCGTTTTCAACCCGGCCGGGTTTGCACCAATCTGGGTTGGATTAATGGCGTTTTGTTCTCCTATTGGTAGAGCGTGTAACGTCAACCATTAGGAAAGATTAATCTAACCCAGGTTGGTGCAAACCCGATCGGGCTGAAAACGCTATAAATAAAGCGACGTGAACAAACAAGCAATCAGAATCCAGCTCATTCCTCGATCTTGCTCAGTTCGAACAGTCGCGACCGCGGATTTAGTAGATGAAATTGTACTGTACACTTAAAACAAAATTGAAAAAAAAGTAAAAGAAATATTAAAATAAATAAAAATGTAGTGTCCAAATCGAAATAATTTTTGTTATGTATGTGGTTTATTTGCACCTCCAAGCCATATGCGAAATATTATAAAAAATATTGTGACGGGATTTGAAGCCTATTTTCTTGTGACATATGTACCGAACAATAATAAGATTGAAAGACCGCTAATGTTAAACATAATAATTTTAAATTAAGAAGCGCCATAACGGTTTGCACGGATGGCAAAATAAATCCCATAAAATTAAATGAGTTTTTTTTTTTATTCGGATTCATCGCATAATTTCACATGAAAGAACGTCAATTATTATTTATTTTAAAAAATTATTATATAATTTAGAACAATTGTAAAAAGCCAATATGAAACGAATAACGATAAACGGCTGCATAAAAAAACATTAACGACTTGATTTGATAAGACGCCGAGACACGGGTATATTTCTTTTATAACTACTTTCAGAATCTCTTTGAATTTTTCATGGGAGGAAACCTGTATTGTCAACCGTCATAAGAATCATAGTTTCGTCCATTAGTGTTGAAAAATTCTAAAAATTGAGCGTTACGTCATAAACAATATAACGGTATCAAATGAAATAATCATGCGAATAATCAGTTTCAATTAGATACAAACAGGAGCTGGATTGAAAATATTTTGAACTGCTATTAACATACACGAGAATAACATAAATACGGTAAAAAACATAATTTTAACAAAAAACATTTGCAGCAAATTCCGATTCATTAAGATAAAAGACTTATCTTTTGCATTCTTCTGAATCTAAATTGCCACAACATCTAATAAATCGAATTACGCTAACTTGAACTCTCTACATTGCCATATATTAATATAAATTATAAAACTCTTTTTATAGTTTTATATTCGAACCGAATCAAATTAACTCAAATCAAAAAATAATTAATTTGTTAATAATGCCTAATTAATCAACGACGACGTCAAATGAGAACTATTGTCAATCATAAAATGTACTTAAAGACTTCTTAAACTTGCCCGTTTTGGCGAACAAAATCATTGTCATGCACGAAGTCATCGATAATCGCGAAACGTGCACATTTACAGGGATCGGTAGAAATTTCATCGATATTAATATGCACGGAATATCAGTACATGGAAAAAATAGTTTTGCTGTCTGAAAATTTAACCAGATAGAGGTGTGAAAATAATTTTGTTGGACCATTAAAATAACTGTTGGGCTCTTAAGCATAATAAACAATGTAAAATGTTTTGATAGTTTAGCAATCCACTTTTTACATAATTATCTTGATGGTCCAACAAAATTATTTTCAGCTCGGCATCTAGCTAAATTTTAAATTTAGCAAAAGCGTTCTTTCCGTATAATGAATCTACAAGAAATATGGCTGATTGCAAAATGTCAGGATTATGCTATCCCTTGTTTTCTATACTTACTTAGGCCATGTTCGTATATTACTGCCAGTTGTCAGTACAGTATAGTATACGTAACGGGAACTATAGATTTTCAGTAGTGGCAGTCAACTGGCAATAATATACGAACACAACCTTAGAATGGCCGCATCTACGAAACTCGCCCAATTACGCACGCGTATATCAATTCTTATTTTTTTTATACGGCTTCTTAATTTCCGTTAACACATTCCAATAGATAATTTTCTTACAAGAAAGCTTAATAAATTGCATGCATCGGTATCGTACCGTATAGCAACGAAACAACGTTTCATGTATTTCGAGTTATCTTATGGGAACGATCGAACGAATCGCAATTACTATCGATCGCTTCATCAGTACTACGGCTCTACATATTTTATCAATGTAACGAAAGAAGCGACTGTGTAAGAAATTATTTACAAAGTTACTGCACGGAAAAAACTATTTATTGGAGTATCTAAAAATTTAACTAGACACAGATTTGAAAATAATTTTCTTGGACCATAAAAATAATCATGTAGAAATTTCAAACATGCTAAATAATTTTGCAAAAAATGTTGGCATCCAGCAACCAGCTTGAACGTCCTACATAATTATTTTGATGGTTTAATAAAATTAGTTTCAAATCTATATCGAGCTAAATTTTTAAACATTTCAACAGAATTGTCCTTTCCGTATGAATATTTTCTATCGATTTATCTAAGTATTATTCCTGAAAATCATGCTCGTGGTCCGAGCTAGTAGAGTCTGCGAGATCCGACTGAACCATGACGATTGTTTGCGGTGGGATCATAATCGGCGCGGCACCCGCGACACTCAAACCCAACAAACGCTGACGGATTCGGTGGTGGTTTGCGGCATGCCGCCGATGCTCGCTCGATGCTGTTTGAAGAGCGCTTGGATCTCCGCTGGCGTGGAGGACCACCGTCGGTGCCTAGTCTTGTCCAGAGGCACTTCCGGAAGACCTACCTCGGTGTGGCAGCCTTTGATTGGCGTGATCGATAGGGCTGCCGAAGCAGGCAGACCTACCTCCTGGAAGGAGCTGATCGAGAAGAATCCACTCTCGCCTTCGGCGCTGCTCACCGGACTGCTAGCCGGCTTTACTTTAGATTTACCAGCTAGACCTGTAGATTCTTTCTTCTCTAGTCGTTTCGTAGCCTTGCTGAGCGTCGAAATTGGTGTACCGTTGGACGTAACTTCATTTGATGACGCGGCAAGCGCAATAATGTCCTCCTCTTCTGTCGTTTTACTGCTACTCGAGTTCCAGGAGGCAGTGTCAGGCGACCTTCTCACACTCGGTACGAAGCTCTGCAAATTTCGGGTAAACTCGGTGACAGACGTTTTGACGAGGCTAGGCGATCTACTGTCGCCCTGATGACCGCTTCTCGATTCGTTTCCGCGGCTGCTACTGGAGCATTCGGAAGAGGCTGTGGCCTCTTGTAAGGTTGTCGAATTGGCGAAGTTACTGCTCGATAGGGAGAAAGACGTGTCATGATGACGATGGTGATCCACCGTAGGAGAAGGAGAAGATCCGTTTTCCTCGACTGGCGTCATTCTCACCAAATCGGGCTCTCGCATCGACAGCAAGGACTCGACGGTCCTCAATAACCTGTAGAAATGTTTCACAAATTTAACACATTGATTTTTTGTAATAATGCGAAAATAATATTATAAAAAATTATTAACTTAAATAAGACAAAGATATCCAGTAAGTAAATTGATAGCAATTGATTGTCGCTAAATTGGCATCAAACTCGCTCAGAATTAGTGACAATTCCGGTAATGTTCTAACAAAGCGTACATAACCAGGCAGCAAAATAGCAGTAAAAACCGAGCGAAACTTTGGTCGATTTTGGTTTTAGTCGGTTCTATCAATTTGCTATCAGGTTGTCAGTAAGCTTTGCACGATTTTTCTGGCAATTTACTTTTATATTACATCAGCAGATTTCATTGTATGCCTGCTACCAATTTGTTGACTATTGAATATAATGAAAGTGTATTAAATTCTGTGCCTTTTTGTTGATAATTTGTAGCAAAAATATCATTTTTAGACCGCGTATGTGAGAGACACAACCGATAAATAAGAGCTATACGGTCGAAGCTAGATCTTAAAATGCTTTAAATAAATCAATCTTGAATCACTAAATATGATATATATGTACTTGACATATATACCACAATTGTAGTCTAACGAACTGTGCGCGCACCGAAATATTTCCGGATTAAATATAATTAAACCACTGTAGTAATTTCGCGAATTAAATTAAAATTCTAATAATTTCGTCTGCTCAATCAGGCATCATATTTCAAAGATATTAATATGCCGAAAAACTGTAATTAAACTTATTGCGAAAAATATTTGTAGCAAGCATTTGACAATATTTTTTTTTAACAGACTTGGCTGACTGGGTAATTAATATTAATAGTAGCAAGTTAATAATTCAATTTACGAACTTAGGATTTTCATGAAATCTTTCTCACGCACCTAAACGCCTCCTGAGACAACTTCTCCGGCGGTATCTCATCCGGGTTCAGTTCCGTCTGTTTGGGTTCGCGATAAACGACGTTATCGGAAACGTCGTTTATCTTACTGAGATCCAGCGGTGGCTTAACACGTGGCGTTGTGCAGTGCACCGGGTCGTTTCTTCGCACAACCGACCAGGTGAACTCGCGGAAGCAGGTAGCGCTCGGCGAACCGATCTGCGTGACCGATTTGGCGCGTGTGAACGGCGAGGACGTCGACGACAAGGATGGCGTTGCGGTTCCGCGATTCGGCGACGGATCCGCGTGCACCACCGTGTGCACGCTGCGGCTACGCGGCACACGTCTCTTGTCCTTGGAATTTTCCTTGGCATGCAGGATCTCCAGACTCCTGTGAGCCCGGCCCAAGAAATGAGCCACCTGTTCCATCGTAGAACGATACATTTGCCTGTTTGATTCGACCTGTAAAATTGATTGATAACAAGATTATTGTATACACGATGCAATGCAATGGGGAGCCACAATACATTCTCCTTCATTAATAATATGTTTAAAAAATAATCTAATTTGCAAATATAATCAAAGGATAACATCTGCAAAGAAGAAAAATGAAAAGAAGTAAAGACAGTAACATGGAGTAGTTTTTTGAAATTAATAATTTATTTCTATATATATAGAATCTCTTGCGTGCACGATATAATCGATGGAGTTTTAGTTTCTTTTTTTCAAAGGATATTAAACTTCCTGACGTTCCATAAAGAATTCCGACGAGAAAATGTAAAATAGAAGTATCCCAAGATATCTCAAACAAATTGCAACCTTTTTTTATTATATAAAAAAATACATAAAAATATTAATAATAACTATTTCAATTAAAGAGATAGATTGAAGTGTCAAAATACTTTTCTTACAACTTGAGGAAATTAATAGTTATGAAATTAATAGTCTATTTCCAGAATCTCGCACAATATCAATGGATTTTTAGCTTTTTTCAAAGAGCAGTATTACATTTCCTGACACATTCTATAAAGAATTTTAGCGAGAAAATGTAAAATACAAATATCTTCAAATATCACAGATAAATTACAAATTTTTTTATTATATAAAAATAAATAATAAAACACTATAATAATAAAAATAAATAATAAAACTATTTCAATCAAGGAGAGATAGATTATACATAAAGTCATAATACTCTTTTCCTACCACTTAAGATGCTATCAAAGTGTATTTGAAGTTGACAGCGATCGAAAGATGCATCAAATAGCACGTATATGTAAGTTCATTCATAAAATGATAATGGACGAACAGAAAAAATTCGGCGGGATGAAAATTGCATGGATCATCAAAGAGGAAAAGTAGCTAATCGTATGCCGACCGGTTGTTACGTGACGCGATATCGAGTAACCGGAGCGAGGTAAACCGGTTGGCCACGTTATCGGTCGCTTCGTCTTCTACTGATCTTCAGCTATCATGCGATTACGAACCTGTTTGACCTGCCATTGGAGCGTGTCGACTCGCGCTTGAAGAAAGACGTTTTGCAGAAAGGCGCTCTGCAACCTCCGGTTTTCCTTCTTCAACGACTGGCATTGCTGCAACGAGAAAACAAGACTACTTATACATCCGCGGATCGTGCTCCCTCGGATACTTTTAGATTTTAAATTACGATTTGCAATGCTGCCATCACGACTAGTTTTAAGGAGAGAAATCATGGGACTTCTACCATTAATTAAAAGATAAGAGAGACTTTTTAGCTATCAGCTTAGTAAAATTTACAGGATGTTTTTCTTCGAACGGGAATATTTTTCTGCAGGTAGAAATTTCTCCAGATGACATGTTATTCTCCATTAGAATAAAGATACACGCGTCGCCTGGCAGTCGTGAATTCGCTATGGTTTTCCATCGCGGACTTTCTTCCGACAATACCTTTCCTTTCAACGTATTCTTTTTCATCTTGCGCCGCGTGCAGTCGTAACTAGATTCAAACTCGCGAGGCGATTTTATGGCTCTCCATTGACGTTGCCTCGCTATGCATTCCACCTCGCTTTACTGGCAAAAACTCATGTTTTTACCCTAATAACGATCTGCTTAGAGAGTATAAGGTAGAGACGGAAGAGACGGAACATACCGTGAGTATATTTGTGAGAAAGGAAGAAAGAGAGAAGAGGAAAAGAGACGGGAGATACGGACGAGTTGCGGGTCTAATAGTCAGTATTTCTACCAAACCACGATTCTAACGAGGGTGCTTCAGCGTGAGACCTCGCGTGCGCGGAATAGCGGTCCACGTGTGTCGCGAGATACGAGATAGATGGATGAAAGAGATACAAGATGCAGAAAACGTAAAGCGTCGATAGCTTTCCGTAATTAATCACAGGACGCTGCCTGGCGTGAGCGTATTATTACGAATTTTACGCTATTCCGCTAATTACGAGGGGTACTTACGTCGATTAATAACACGTCCGACAATATAATAGCGCCGTTTTTAAAAAATACTTTCCGTTCAACGAGCTATGTAATGGGGACTTTGAGGTAATCCGCGCGCATCGGTTAATTAATTAAATGCAATCGTAATCGACGCAGGCCTACAAACCTCCTTCTACTGACAATATACGCATACTTTCCTGTTTTTATCAATATGTTCAACAAGGTCGTGAGATTTTCTTTTCCTTCCTTTCCTTCTATGCAATATATTATATTTTGTTTATCTTGTTATTGTTTATATACTGAAGAATGTACTAAATTTTAATTAATATCTAATACTTCTTTAAATTGTATTAACTGAATATTTACTGAATGTAAACATATATTTATTTTTTTGATACAAGAATTATTAATTTGATCTCATTATCATTTTTTATTGAGAAAATATTTATTTGTTATAAATAAAAATTAAGTTAGTATTGTTCAAGCAAAAATTTAGTATATTTTTTTCAGTATATCCGTTTACCATTCAATACTTTCTCTCTTTATACATATTAGTTATTATGATAAATACAAGGATAAATATCATCATATACCTCGATGATTGAATCGAAAAAGATGCTCGGTTAATCGAGAGATTTAAATCCTGGCTGATGACATTTTTCACAACAAATTTTTGGCAATATTTTAATATATTTATTAATTATTAGCATTATTGATAATAATATTAATCAACCTTCTTGTTCTTTTTAATGTCTATTTATATTGTCTTACACGGACGAATAACGATAAGATTTTTCACTCTCTTCACATTTTTCTTATTAAGATCCACTTAGGTATTCATTCTTTTTTTATTCAGTTGCTTATTTTTAATTATTGTCAATGTTCTTTACATATACTATAACGTGTATTATTAGTTCATATTTCTTATATTTTATATTACTGACTTTATCATTTTCTGTATGACTTATGTACTTTTCAATAGAAATCATACGTTATTATACATAAACGGAGAAACAATAGTATTGCCGATTTCGCATCGTACCATATTTTCAATATGTTAGCAGAAGTGTTACTGCGAGAGGAGAGAGAAGTTTTAATTTTTAATTTAATTTTATTTTTGTATTCAATCTAACATTGATAATGATCCGATAGGGATCGAAACGTTTGTTGTCATGTATTGTTTGATGCCGGCAGTTTATATTAAAGTTTTTATTATAATGTTATATCTATTTTACTATTAATTTAGACTATATAGATTGATCTTTGGCTTGTAGCCCTATTTCTTTTTGATATTTTAAATTTATTGAGCCTTACTATTATATATTTTTAATAATAATATTAATATTTCAATTTGTGTTTCGAACGTCCGAGTCTGACAATCGGCGCATATACAACACTAAAGATGTATTTAAAAGATATGTTTACATACAAATATGATTAGTCATAAATAAGGAAAAAAAATTAGTATTTTTGCGTGAAAACTGTGCTAATAGCAAAGTATTTGTATATCAACTATAAATTAGCGTGAGGAGTAGACTTAAAAAGATTACGATATATGGGATAAGAAACATTTGCAGTTTAGATAAAAATAGGTTTAGATAAAAGTAATTAATAAATAAGTAAGTAAGTAAAAATAGTAAGTAAAAATAAGTAGATAAGTTTAGAGATGAAAGTAATATATTGAAAGTGGATTCCAATCAATAAATATTAAGATGTGGAATGAATGTGTATGGTAAAGTAAAACTGCAAACCAAGATTTCTCTGGCATATAAACTGCAATGATAGTTGTTTTTATTTCTATTATATGTATCGGACACTAAGATTTATTTTTTTTCATCATTTTAAGTTTCATATTTATCAAATGAAAACAGTTGGAAATTAAACTAAGTAAATTATATTGGCTCTTAGGATGAAAATCTCAACTGAATTTAAATAGTAAACTACTCATTTACAAATGTATACTCAAACCGATCTGGATCTATGGGATCTAATTTTGGGGCACTGCGCCCAATTCTAATATAGAAATACTACAGAGATTCCAAACCAAAATGATACGAATAATTGTTGACGCACCATGGTATGTAACGAATGAGACTCTTCACAAGGATCTGAGTATTCCGACTGTGAAGGAGGAAATAAGCAGAATGGCAGCAAGATACAAATCGCGCTTAGAAAATCATCCTAACATCCTAGCTAGTAGTCTTACCAATACCAACAGTATAAAGCGTAGATTAAAACGTAAAATTCCTCAAGATTTATTCAGACACAGTAATACATTGTAATTTATAAGGAGAATCATTGGATTCTCACCGAGCGTGCCATATTATCGCTTTCACAACTATTGCTAAATATCCTTGTGGGTGACAGATCGCAATATTGGTAGGAGATAAAAAAAAATTTTAAGTTTCAAATCAAGTGAATTTCCCTTAAAAAGTTTAAAATAATTACGACGTGTTATTAGCAAAGAAAATAACGATGACGAAATGAAAAAATCGCGTGACGATCATTAACACCGGGTGTTTCATTATCTGCGCCGCACATTAATTATTATACTACCTTAACCAACTAGATATTCTCTATCTTGACATGAGAAATTGTAACTGAATAACGTTGCGAATAATGTTGTCGGCTTTCCAAGAGAGCGCGGAGCGACGGCGAACGGGCGGGGAGATGGACTATAAATCAAAGCCCCGGCAAGAAAAGGTCACGAAGGAAGCTGAAGAGAATCGACACGGATTTAATGAGGTACGCTTCACTTTCCGTGTTTTCCGCAGGAGCGTTTAAACGATCGACGAAATTACACTTGGTCTCGCGACGCCGCGAAAGAAGTTTGGTATTAATTTTCAGATCCTATCGTTTTATTTTCGCACGTTCCTGTTTTCCTTCCACGCTTAATCGATCGCACGATACCGCGTGCGGTAGCTGCTGGCCACGCTCGCAATACCGATATATCGTCTGATAGCATCCAGCGGATCTATCGATTCCGCATCTCTCAAAGAATTTAATGAAACCTTCAACCAAACTCGAACAAGACGAAGGCAATTTTCTATCTAATTTCGATAGCCATCGCCGCAGCGTGGCCGGAGTAGGATCGTTGTAGTTATTAACGGACGACCGTAGTCGTCCTTCGAGAATAAAGCTCGTTACAAGGATCGACCTTTGATTACATCCCGAAGTAGAATATGCACTGTTGGGAATTATTCTTAGGAACGGGATCAGTTTCCGATAAAGAAACTAACACGACCTTTTGTCTTTAGATCCAGCGAACGGCACACACTGCCAACATACATTTTATTAAGAGGGATATGTACCAATAAATACACACAATAGTACTCTAGGGAGAAGAAAAAACTCATAGGAAATAAATTTACTGGATAAATAATAACCATTAGATTTGAAACGTAAAGAAACTCGTTATTACGATTTAGTTGAACAAAAATAAAATTAAGTTCTCAACTAATTTTAACATGCACTCGTTTTTGCAGTTCACAATACCGCTAGTTTTTGCAGAATTGTCGCGGCGCTTCCAATTAAATATTTAACGAGAAACCCTACATCTTTAATTCTTCAGAGTTAACACCACAATTACTGACTGAGTTTGCAAAGTCTATTCCATAATTGCGTAGCTGTAAATGATTGTAGTTGTAAAAATTGATCAATCACAGTCGAATATGAAAAGAATATTTGACTGTAGAATGAGCTTAAGATCTATTTCATTTATATTAATTAAAAGGCGCTAATTAATTGCGAGGAACTAAAATAACATATCCCTTCTAATTTACCACATCAACCTTCTTGTCTTTTGAATGTCAATTTATATTGTCTCAGTACAGACTAATGATGACACGATTTTTCACTCCCTTCGCATTGCTCTAATTGTCTATTGAGATCCATATGTAAGGTATTTGTTCTTTTTAATTCAACTGCTACTAAATTATTTTTGATCATAGTTAATGTACTATTGCACATATTATAATGGTAATTTACATTTCTTATATTTCATATGATTAGCTCTATCACTTTATACGACTTATTAGTGTACTTCTCAACAGAAATTATAATCATTTATATGCATTTATACGGAGGAACACTGTGTTACCGTTTCCAAATTGCACCATGCTTCAATTATGTCATCTGAATTGTTAATATGAGATCGAAGTATAATTTTTTAATTTTAATTTAATTTTATGCATTGATAATGATCCGATAGAGATCGAAACATCTATTCTTTGTTTTTTATTTGTCTTTAATTTGTCTCTCTCTCTCTCTCTCTCATTGTTTATAACAG